ATTGAAGGGCTTAATCTAGATATCCGGTGTGAAGTCAAAGCTTGTCAACCCCGTATGATCGCTGCAATATCATTTGCACGTTTACATGAGGAAAAAATCAGCAGGTAAAATCATCGAAACAGAAGTGACAACAAATAGATGATTAGCAAGCTACCCACCCCATATATTCCTAGCCGGAACCCTAACACTCAAAAACTAACTCGAGAAGAACTCAAGGAAAGATCAACGAAGGGTTTGTGTTGGCACTGTGATGAAAAGTAGAGTATAGAGTACCGATGTAAACAATGGCAGCTTCTTATGATTAAACCAATTGAGGAGGAACCGGAAGTTAAAAATATAGACTCCGATCATGAAGGTATGGATTCTGATGACGATGTTGGTCTTATCATACATATAGTGCATGCATTAGCCGGCTGCTCTAACATGCAAACTACGAAAGTTGGAGGAACTTTGGAATATCAACATGTTATAGTTTTGATTGATACTAGTAGCGCTAACAATTTTATAGACAATAAGATTGCCGACCGATTGGCCTAACACATTAAAGCCTATAATAAATTCGAAGTAAAGGTCACCAATGGACGAATTTTAACATGTGATAGCAAGTGCTCAAAGATTAAACTGACTTTGCATGGCCAAGAGTTGCTTGTGGACTTTTTTTTGCTACCCTTGGAAGAGTTCGAAATGGTGCTCGGAATTGAATGGCTATCAACCTTGGGTGATGTTTCGTAGAATATTTATAAACTAATCATGAAGTTTTTTATTAATGGAAAGCAGGTGATTCTAAAGGAAAGATGTAGAAGTAAGGTCATAACTACCACTAGCCTATTGCTTACACCAAAAGTCCAACCTAAAGGAAAGTAGGTGATTCGTAGAGAGGGTTTTTTAGAAGATTGCAACACCAAAAGTCCAACCTATTGCTTACACTATCAAGAAGTGGAGACCATACTTACTCGATCAACAGGTTGTGATGCGCCACGGATACCCTATGACTAAAGTGCTGAAAGAGAAACTCCTTGAGTTTGATACTACTTAGCCTTGAGAATAAGGCTGATTTGAAGAGGGAGGAATTATTAGGATCTTTTTATTTTCTAAGCTTTTGAATAATGTTAATTGAGTCTGTTTAGTTCAGTTAGAGTTGGATAGAGGTTTCTTTAATATTTATTTATTATTAAGAGTCCAAGTCCTAGTAGACTATAGATGGAAATCTATAAATAGTGATGTAACAATTTCTTTTTTATAGATAATGAAATATTATTCAGTCTTTTGACTAACCCTATGAGGCCGATCCCCTCGAAGTGATCATCTCTTTTCCCTTCTTTCTTCTACGATAAAACTCTAGGGTCTTATCATTATCCTTTTTATAGGCTTAAGAAAGAACTTCCATAATCTTTTATAAGAGATCTCTCACCTCCTATAACTTAAACTCAAGAGAGAGAAAGAGACTCAAATAATGCTCAAAGAGAGAGTTACAATACTTTATAAACTTATAAATGGATGCTCATCAACCAAGTTTAAGAGGGGAATTTATAGACCTCAAAAAGCTTCAAAAATAGAGCTAAAAAATATAAGTCCTTAAAATTTTAGGGTATAAACAGTACTACCATTGTAATTTTTGACGTTGCAATTCTAAACTCTAGTTATATTACTATTGTAAAATTTAAATTTTAGATGGTATTATTATTGCCCCTAATCGGTACTACCATTAGGGGCCTAGCAAGTATTTATTGACAGTCGGTATTATCACTAGAAAGTATGACAAGCATAAATAGTATTTATTGACTAACATAGGTAGTATTATGGCTTGAGCCTAGCAATACCATCCCTAGGGCTACTTTAAGCCATCATTTTAGTCTTCTAATAAGCCCAATTCGATCCAACTTTAAGCCCAATGGCTTTCTTAACAAGTTGATATTGTTTTGATCCAATACTAAAAACATATTTCTTATGTCACTTATCTCAAAAATATATTTAGTCCAACAACTCATCAATTGATTTCATCAAAATCTAGGATTCAACAATCACTCCCTTTTTTTATGATAACTAATTGATGACGGAGTCTTAACTAAGCTCTCCTTGTCTATATGCCATCTTAAAATATAATGAGCTCGAATTTAAAATAATAATATTTTAATACTAGTCTTGAATTTAAGTTAAAATAATTTCGATCATAAATCTCAATTATTTTTAATAGTAAAAATAAAATACATAATTTTAGTTAAACAAATATTATAAGGTACTATCATAAATTAAAAATATTATAGGTTCAACAATCACTCTTTTTTTTATGATGATAACCAATTGATGACGGAGTCTTAACTAAGCTCTCCTTGTCTATATTCCAACTTAAAATATAATGAGCTCGAATTTAAAATAATAATATTTCAATGCTCGTCTTGAATTTAAGTTGAAATAATTTTGATCATAAATCTCAATGATTTTTAATAGTAAAAATCAGATACATAATTTTAGTTAAACAATATCATAAGGCATTATCATAAATTAAAAATATTATAGGTTCAACATAACATAATATAATTTTTCCTATTTAACATCAAAGTATAGTATTATTTCATCAAAAGGTAAAGAAAGACATAGTTGTTAGGACCAGAATCGGCACTAACGGGGGGTGAATTAGTACTTTTATAAAATCATGTCGGTTTGAAAACTTCATTTGATGAAATCATATCAGATGTTTAAACTTAAAATATTTATAAGAATAGTAATAAGTAAGTAAAGCAGTTGCAAAATAAGTAAACAAGTAGAAAAGGAGAGGTACACCAATTTTATAGTGGTTTGATTGTCATGGCCTACATCCACTCCTAATTCCTCTTCACTCGAGGCTACCGGTTTATACTACCGATCTTCTTTCAACGGGCGAAGATCAACTACCCTTACAACTCTTTCTCCTTTTCATAGGCTCAGGAAAGAATATTTTACACCTCTCTTTTAGACCTTACTCCTCTCTTAGAAAACTTCTAACTCTAGGAGGAAGAGACTCTAAATCCTAAGAGAGTTTTCAATTTTTTTTCTACTCAAATTCATGCTCTTTTCCCCTTTTCTACTCAAATCCTAAGGGAGGAAGAGTATTCTTTTCCCCTTTTCTACTCAAATTCATGCTCTTCCAAGCAGAAATAACTGGGGTATTTATAAACCCCAAATGACTTCAAAAATAGAGCTAAAAAAGATCTCATCTCGGGTTTCCCAGGTCCTAGTGGTACCATTGTTTATGCTGGGCGGTACTACCGCCTGTAGCACTGACATTAGGCGATACCACTGCTTGACACAGTCTAGGAGACTGTGTTTGGTGGTACCACCGCTCAGACTAGCGGTATCACCACTTGACATAGTCTAGGTGATTGTGTTTGGGCGGTACCATCGCCTAGTCTAACAATACCACCGCTTGACAACTTGGAAAAGTGTCCTCTTAACTTTTTCAGCTCATAGATAGTTCCACCTAATCTTAAGTGACCGAATGAGCCTTACACTTGGCCCAAAATAGTCCCAACTCAGGCCCAATGGGCCCGTAATTGAGTTGACATTGTTACACCTCAAAACTGACTCAATTAGATTCTAAACTCACTCGATCTAGACATAATTGATTCCAAGCATGAATATTATGTTGTCCGACATGTCATTGGTTCATCCGATGCTTCGTTCGATCCTTTGGCGCATCATCCTCTCATTCGACATATTTTCCAATCGGTATGTTACTTTCGCAACTTCCGATATCCTTGGCGCAATGTCGGATCCTTTGGCTTGATGCCCGAACTCGTGACATGAAGACCTTCTATCGATACATAGACTGATCCTCCAACTCGACATCTAATCTCCTGATATGTTCACTCTGGCTCAATGTCTGATTCTTCTTGCTTTGATCGATTTGCTTTTACTGATCATTAACTTGGATTCATCTCTATTTGTATAAAGCTTAGATGTCAATCTATTAAGTCTCTCACCAAGTTCTCAGATTTAAACTAGAAATTTTTTTTTGACTGGAGTGTGCAAAATAATGATTTAGGAGCTCAAATCCACTTGCAAAAATGACAACAGAGCTTCAGGTTGGACTGAAGTTTCTTGGATTTATCCATACAACTGAATCTGCCTAATTTTATGTCCTTCGGCCAACAACATTAACATAGATTAGCATTAACAAACAACAAAGCGTTGCTCCTAGTAAATGGTAGGGATAATCTTGTGTCATTGACATAAATGGAGTAAAATAAAGTGATTATTTCGTCGAAATTTCCTGATTTGCACTTTAATGAACTAAAGTTAGCTCACAAATTTTAACATATTGCATGTTTGATTCTCCTCATGGTTGCAAATATCAGTTAACATACGAGAAGAAACAGTTGACTGACTGAAAATAATTAGTTGAACTACAAGAACAGAGCATTGACTGACACACTTTACTATGCTGGAGTTGCATCTTAGACTGACCTCTTCTATGATGTTAGACAATATGCAATGTATGATTGTTGTTTATGAATGTAAAATTTTAAAAATATCCTTTTTCTCTAGAGTAAATTGAAGTTCTATAAATTTATTAAGAAATATTTATTATAAAAAATATTATATTAAGGGTTCATATCTCAGTGGTGGAGAATTTAACTGCAGATAATCGGTTGTTGGGCCCTATATTAAAAAAAATATATTATTATTATTAATATTTTTTTAGATGTTTCATCTTATATTCATGAGCACAGTCCAAGGGAACAGCTTCCAACTTTGAGCCCTCGAAAGATCTTATTAGGATTTTTTATTTTTTAAATTTTTAAATAATATTTATCGAATGTGTTTAGTTCAGTTAAAATCGAAACTCTATAAATATGAATGTAACTGTTTTTTTTCGACAAAGAAATATTATTCAATCTTTTGACAAACCTTAGAAGATTGATCCCTCGAAGTGATCAAGAAGGTCGATCCCCTCGAAGTGGTTATCTTTTTTTTCTTATTTCTTTTACGATAAGATCATATGATTTTATCAGGTACCACCGTCAAATACTGCTGAGAAGCTCCACGATGCGGTAATAATAAGGGTCCTGCAACCTCTTCATGCTCCCGTCCAACTGGACCCCGGCATTTTCCTGACTTCTCTTTCTTCCATCAGTTCTCGAATCCTTCCTGCCACAGCCCAATTTTTCGCGTCGGCAAACATGTTCGACAGCAAAACATACGTCGACGGGTCTTTCTCCTCCATGGCAAGTGCCTGCTCTGCTGCTCTCTTACCGGTCTCCACATCGCCATGAAGCTGACAAGCACCCAGTAATGTCTGCCAAACGAGCACGCCGGGTTTCGAAATCATGCTCCGTATCAACTCCTCCGCCTCCGCAATGCAGCCTGCCTTTCCAAGGAGATCCACCATGCACGCGTAGTGATCTTCCCCAGGTACGATACCATGATCTCGCTCCATGGAGTCGAAGTACCTTCTTCCTTTCTCCACTAATCTTCCTTGACCGCATGCATACAGGACACAGATGAGTGTGATGTAATTTGGCCTCACCTTCTCTGCAATCATCTCGTCGAAAGCCTCCGCGGCTTCTCGACCGCGTCCATTTTGCGCCAATCCCATGATCATCGCAGTCCATGAGATGACCGACCGCTGCTTCATCGATCGGAACACCTGCAGTGCGCTGCCCGTAGAACCACATTTGGCGTACATGTCCACGAGTGCATTGTCGACACACTCATCGACCTCGTCTCCTAGCTTGATTCTGTACCCATGTGCCTTCCTCCCTTCCTCCAAAGAAGTCAAGCTCGAGTACGCATTAAACATCGTTGCGAGCGTGAACTTGTTTGGTCTCACACCCGCCAGCTTCATCTGATCTACGATTCTGAGTGCTTCCGCCGGCTGCCCGCAATCCAGGGCACCTGCGGCCATCTGTGTCCACGAGACCACGTCGCGCCATGGCATCTCTGCAAAGGCTTTGGAACTGCTAACTAAATCTTTGTTCTTCAGGTACATCTCCACCAGTGAATTCCCCACGCAGACATCCTCGCCATGGCCGTGCCTAACGACCTGGCCATGAACCTGCACGCCGCTCCTTAAGCACGAAGCCTTTGCCAACCCTGTGAGGACGCTACTGAAAGAGAACTCATCCGGCCTCAACCCTGCTCGACTCATCCGACACCAGAATCTCCATAAGTCCGAGTAGGAACATTGCAGATAACCCGCAAGCATCGAGTTCCACGAAACCACATCCTTGGCACCATATTTATCGAACACCTCCGCCGCTTCCTCCATTCTCCCATTTCTGATCAACGACATGAGGAAAGCGTTGATCAAGAACACATTGGAGTCGAAGCCGAGCCGGATCACCTGAGAGTAAATCTGCCGAGCTTGGGAACAACCATCAGAGAGCGAGGCGGCGTTCAGCGCGCTCACGAGGGCGAACTCATTGGGCCTGACGCCTTCACGATGCATGTCGTAGAAGAGGGAGAGGGCCTGGAGGGGACGCCCACACTGGACGAGGCCGGCGATGGCGGCCGACCATGTGACGACGTTTCGCAGGGGCATTTGGTCGAACAAATGGACGGGCAGAGACGGCTCGCGGCAGCACTTGAAGTACATGTTAAGGAGGTGGTTTTGGAGGAAGAGGGAGGAATGGAGGAAGGGGCGCTTGAGGAGTTGGGAGTGGATGGCAGTGCCGAGGCGGAGGTCGGAGGTTTGGGCACATCTCTGCAGGAGATGGGCGTAGCACTCGTCTTCCTCCTCGTGGTCCGGCGACAGGCGTGATGTGCGAAACCAACAGGGAGGATATGCGTAAATTGGAGGCCGAGAGAACACGAGAGGTGGTAGCGTACATCGTGGCATTGGCTTGTGCGAGGTTTAGTTCATGATTTGAAGGCGTTGCATTCAATTAAAAGATTCATTATATGTGTGTGTGTGTGTGTGTGTGTCTCAATCTTTTAATTGAACTGGTCAACCCCGATGAAAACTAATACATATTATAACATAAATAATAATAATCAATATAATTAAAAGATTAACATAATATAATATACAAATAAATTTAAAAAATTATTACATTAGGAAAATATCATCTAACTAATTCATATTTCTAAATTATATTTATATTTAATATCATTGTTTTCAACGTACCTTTAACATAAAAACCTTTCATATGAATTATCAATGAAGATGGAGGACGGGCGAGTATTTAAACGAACTTGCATATGCCTTCCTACTGAGGTATAAGCTTTTGTAGTTATATATATATATATATATATATATAATCTATTTTTTAAACATTCTTCTCATGGGAAGCGATAAAATTAGTTATCTTAATTAAGAAATAATACTATATATAAAAATCCCATTGATCTATGGCTCGACCCTTGGATCATTGATTTGAAAGAAACAATCGAATTGATATATATAAAAATATATCTGAGTAAAGAATTTCTTCATCTCCTTTGCTCTTTGAAATTATTTTGATCAAGTCATTGTCAAAGAAAAATTATTTAGAATTATTCTATCAATTAGATTACATATTCTTCTTGGATCCTTCATATGACTATATGCTCCAAAATGTTTTTAAACATTTTAAGTTTACCAATTGCTTGCTTAATCACAAGGCAAAATTATAGAAGATAGCTACTTACAATCCAAGTTAATATTACCTATATATCTCGATTCATATATAGTAGTATTAGCCACATAAAATTTTTTCACATGGTCAAAGAATTATTTAAACTGATTCAAAATCTAGACCTTGCGATAAATTGTTAAGGTCCTTACCAACTAAGGCACTTGACATCTTAAAATATATATCAGTTAAGATTTTAAATCCTTAACAATTAGTAAGAGGGTCTGACACACTACCATCAAATCAACGTTTAAGACATAAAATATATCAAATGAGATTTTAAATCCCGGTAAGTTGATATGGTACACCAGCATCATATTAATTAATATTAAGGTGTAAATATATCAAATAAAGTTTTAAGCTTTCAAAGTATGCTAGTCTAGAATACCACCACTAGTCCACACCTAACTAGGATATCACAATGTCTCAGCTGGAAATTTCACTAATAAAATAATACATGTCAAAATTATGGATTGAATATATTGGTTAGTTTGCACAGCAATCTCATATTCTTCAATCGTTTCTAAAGTAAGATTGTGATGGCATACTAGCATAGTTGTTAATATAATTTGGATTGTCTCCTCATCCATCAAGTATGTTGGCACCAAGTTTCCAACTAATTAGTTTCAATTTCAATTTCTGTTCTTTGATTGTTATGCCATATTACTTCTAAAGTTTTTGACCTCGAATTTATTAAGTTTTTTCTGCCATTTGGAATGTCATCTTTCTTCGACCGTATTGGTTCCATGGAAAGTTTCCTACTTTGAATATATTAAGTCTTAAACTCAGTTCTAGGTCTTGAATTTGTACTGTCTTCATAGACATTTGCATGAGGTTTTAGTGCTCTTGTTCTATATAATTGTCATGACAAGATAAAATACTTCGATAATTGTGTAGATGCCTATTACAAAGAATGACATTCTTTCAAGGAAGCAGTTGGTGCAGATTACAGATAAGCTCAGCAGAAATTTCTAAAAGATCAAGAATTCAAGATAAGGATTACACAAAGAAAGGATTTTTATCTTCTTCTTTTTAATCTTTTGCAAGCAGATTCTATCTATTTCTTCCATAAGCAGGATGGTTAAACTTAATTGACAGATGAGAGATACTGTGGAACTTCACATGATTTCAAATTCTATACTGATTCATTTATTTCCAATCCTGTTTAATATGTAACATTCTTTTATTCTTTTTTGTTGCTGTTCAAGCATTTAATGGCTCTTGAACTCATATCAAACTTTTACCTGTCTTATACTTTTCCTCCTCACATTCTGCAATGCAAGTTTGGCACTTGTGCCAATTTGGTTCATTCAAACAATGACAGGCAAATGGCAGCAGCTACTGAAGCAATTGAATGGCTAAGGTTGAGACACCAATGCTGCTTATTTCTTAATAGTCATGGTTTTGTCTGTCTTGTGCATCTTGGATAGTAACAAATATATTGATTAGTAGCAGTAATAATATTCTAGTCTCCATACTGTGCTGTCATCTTTCAGAAAATGAAACATTAATTCTATCATCAACCATGTAGAGGGTAGGTCCTTAGATTACTTCTGTTCTCAAGCAATCATGTAATAGTCTCTTGTCCTCTTTCTTGTTGTTCTTGTAACAGGGAATCATGGAGAGGCCTTCACTTTAGGGTTTAGGAGATTCTTGTAAGGTGATGATGCCACAATGATGTGTTGGTTGGTGCATTGTTGCCATACTGTATTAAGACTTGATTGATGTCATGGATTCTTTTCCTCACAATTTCTCTCTCTCTCTC